GATTCTTTGAATTGGAAAGGAGGCCTCAGTTTGAACGACGGGCCTGAAAAGCCACATCATGCCAAGACAAATTCCTGTATAACCTCTCTGTAACTTCTCCCATCGCTGTCAAGGCCGTTTTGTTTGCCCATAGGCTACATTTAAACTGTGCTGATTTAATGCCAGACCATGTGTATATACAGAGGTATGCAAAAGTTTGACATGTTTTGTTGACATTTTTAAGCTGAAATAAGCTCACGGAACACATTTTACTTGCACAGTCACTGTTTAGTTGCTAAATTTTGAAATTGTGCACTAAAATATACATACAAATATGTAATTTGACAAGAGGTGTTCAACCTTTTGCACACAAATATATGACTGTTCTGGTCACATATACACAGGGCATCTGATTAAGGCCAGTTCTGTCCAAACGTAGCTTGTTTGCTTGGATAGTTACAGTATTAGTACATTATGTATTGAAATATATATAGTACTGTTATATATAGTACTGGGAATACTATTGTTTGCTATTAGAGTGCTTTGTATTTATGTATATTAAAATTGGCTTATATTTATTTAAAATGAACTTCAAAGGAACAGCTTTTATACGGTTCAATAACTTTTACACATACTGTACTTTTATACATGTAACTACTACTGTATTACATATGTTGTAGCAGTGCTATTATTATTATTATAGCACTGTTATAATTACTGCAACAGTACCTTTTATGGTACATCATTATAGCTGAATTATTACATGTAAAGCTTAACTACTACGTTTTAAAGAGAAACGATATTAATGTAGCACCTCTGACTGAGCACTTCAGCAGTAGAGCAGTGGCTAGGGCCTTTGCAGGACCACCACAGGACCACCACTGAAAGAGAAATATTAAAGAAATGTGAAAAAAGAGTGACGTATCGTGAGCGGTGAAGTTTCATTTTCAAGTATTTGAATTTATTTCGTCTTAATGTTTCTGAATTATCTTTGAGATAATTGAGAGCTAAATGACCATTGCAAGTGGTAATCATCGGGGTCCAAGCACTATGTGGAATTACAAATGATTTTTGCGTGTTTCGAGAAATGTGCTTAAAACCAGCAACCAGTGAGATAAGTTTACTTAATAAAATGACCTAAAACAAGTAAAAAAATGTCTAAAAATAAGCCAGATTATCTTATAATAAGCGCACAACCATCTCAAAATGGGAAATATTAGAAGGATCGACTAGATTTAAGACCATTTCACTTGACAAAACACCATTTTTTGCAGTGTCCAGTCCAGTTATCATATTTGAAGTTTAATATACCAAAAAATCTTAAAACAATTCTACATAACCATTTTCCAACCTCTCTTTAACCCTTTAGTATTAAACAGGCTGTTTTGTTACTGTGCCTTTAAAACTTTATGTAAATGAGCTCTGTTCTGATTGGTCACCCTGTATTGTGCCTCATTCAAAAAGCAATCCAGGTTGAAATGCTTTTATAACTTCAGAGCGGTTGGGTGGAGCTAAACTGCTGCAGGCTGAACAGGTATTTGGGGATATAAGCAAATGTGGCGGTTTGTGTGACATGACAAATTCAATAAACCTGAATAAAACCTGAATTAAAAAACAAAAGTGAGAAAATTCATTTGCTATGAAATTGGCCCTTTAACAAAACAGTGCAATATTTGAATATGCCTTGTATTTGCAGGGTTGTTAAGCTCTAAATTGAACTATAGTGCTCCAAAATATGAAATGAGCTTTAATTTAGATGTTATTCAGTCATTAATGCAAATACATCTGCCTGTATGAACTGCCTGGTTCACTATAGTGTCCCACAGCTATGTTTTATAAGTGCATTGCCCCCTCTTCTGGTCAGAAAGTGTATTTTAGAAGACCTCGTACCCAAGAGTGATGCAGATTTGAATGTGCAAGTCAGTATTTTACTCTTTAAATTACTATTTTTTTTAATAAACATAAATCTAATAGATTCAGATCTAAATGAAATGTTAGCCTGCTAATGATGCCTCAAGTGCACTTTCTTTCACTCTTTTCTCTATTCCTGTCTTTCTCTTTATATATTTCTATATGTTGCATTAATTTGAGCTTGTTACCGCTCATTATTGATTTTATCATCACCAAGAAATCCCTGCAAATCTGTAGGATCCACAAATTACCAAAAGGGGGCAGTATTGTGCTTTAGTGAAGGAGTGGAGAGACAGATGAAGGTGTGTGTGTCATGGGTTCAGGGTTAAAAATCTCAGCTGCTGGAGTGTGAGCAATAAAGATCAGTCATAAATTATTGCAAATATATTATTCTTCACATGAGGCCAGTTAGTGTCCATAGGAGTGTGTTCAGTGTTGTGCTAAAGTCAGAGACCACCCCTCATTTATTTAATTTCCAGTCAAAATGTCTCACAGAACAGAAAATGTAGCTTCGATAACTAAATTTAATATCAGTTTGTTCACTATTTATTATCCAATTTTATTACAGCTTCCATTCTTTTTCAGGAGACTCGCTTTAAGTTTTTCGGGA